GCATCAAAAATGACTTTTTGATGGAAGATTATTTAGAAGGATTAATCTTAAACAAGTTTTAGTATATGTCACAAGGTTTCCATGCATATAAACAATGCCGAAATCCGAGTTATAACCAAGATCTGTTTGTTTGTTATTGACTAGTTATTTTGGATTGTTATCTTGGTTTATCGTATGATCAAGTAATGTTGTGTTTTGTTAGAACTGTATCCTGGTAGATGGGATAATGCTATGTGTAGTGACTTGTAAGATCTATTTGTTTGTTATTGACTAGTTATTTGTATACTTGTCTGTTATATGTACGTGTCGACATGGTGTATGTGTGGTTGGGTTGAGGCGGTCCTGCTTTGTGTTGAAGGCCAACAGACCTAGTAAGACCCGAATAGACTGAAGGCCAGTGGGGCGTACCAGTCATACCGAAGGCCTGTAGAACGGTCCAGATAGGTTGAAGGCCCAGTGTGGCGTACGAGTCATGTTGAAGGTTCTGTGAGCGGTCTAGGTAGACTGTAGGCCGGTGTGGCGTTCCAGTTAGACTGAAGGCTTTGTATGCATGTTGTTTATTGTTATTATTCTAATTTTGTGTTGTGTTGGTATTTTAGGGGAACCCACTACACTTTGGACTTACAGCTTTAGATTATGTTTCAGGTTACCTCAGATGATCGCGGGAAGGCGAATGTGTGAGCGTACACCTTCTCATGTTTTGTTTATGATTTTTGGGAAACTCTGATAATAGATATGTTTTGGAAAACTATTTTATAAACCACTGATGATTTTAGGTTGTTTAAAAAGTTTAAATTTTTCATGAATTATATGGATGTTACATGCACCTCGACCCATATTCAAGGATCTAAGTTACTTGTCCAACATCCAGGGTAAAAGATAATTTTACACTTCTCTTACTTGGCCCAAAACCAAGGCCCGACCCATTTGTTTGAAAAACACAAATTCCCAAATGGCATCCTAAAGCCTAATATGGCCTAACTTCCTAATTGGACCCCAAAACCGTAATGGGCCTAATTCCAAGAAAGCCCATAGCCTAGCAATGACCCAAAGTCAGAAGTCCAATGGCCTAACAAGGCCCAAACCCTAAAAGTCCAAAATATGGCCCAAACCCATAAAAGTCAACCGAAAGTCAAACTACTGAGTATGCTGGGCGTACTTAGACTTACATTTAGCGTACCCCTTCTGGGGCCAATATGTGCAATGTACGAGCTGAGTACGCCCCGCATACCCCGCAGATGACCAACCCAACCCATTAAATATATTTAGAGATGCAGACTAGACAGGATGTTTGGATAATCGCATATCTACCTGTGGGTTTGCAGTGTTTCTAGGACCAAATATGATTTCATGGAGTTTACATAAGCAACTATGTGTTTCGATTAAGCACAAAGATTGAATACAAAGCTTTGACTAACAGTATATATGAAGGTATATGTATACAATCTATTCTCAAGGAGGTAGGAGTGTGTTAGCCTCGACTGTTGGTATTATGGTGTGCTAACTTGGGAGCCACTTACTTGACAGCTAATATGATATTTCATGCTCGAACTAAGCACATTCAAGTAGATTTTCATTTCATTAGAGAAAGGATAGCTATGAGTACTTTTGATGTTCGATTTATATCTTCTAATGATCAAGTAGCAGACGAGTTTACTAAGCCAACAACTCGCAACATGCTTGACCCTATGAGATACAATCGAAACCTTGTTACAGTTAAGATTGAGGGGGAATGTAAACCGAAGATTAGAAGATAACATAGAATAGTTTGAATTGTGAGTTTATTATAGAGATAATATCATTTGAATGTAACCTTATCATGTAATGATTGTGTGTGTGTGTGTGTGTATATATATATATATATATATATATATATATATATATATATATATACGGGTTTTGTGTGGCAAATTCTTTGCTTAACTGATGTCCACTGGTTCGACATTGTGACCAACACTAATATAAGGTTAAAGAGATTTCTCAGCCACTACACTCTCTCATCGACATATCCACATACATATAGGGATTTGATCTTGACTAATGCCTTGTCTTTCCGCATCCTCTGTAGTGTCATGTTCACTTCTTCACAATCAGTTGTCGTGTTGCAACACTCACTCGATGCCCTTCAATGCCCTCGACATTCATACTTATAATCAACGAAAAAATTATTGTTAAATACAAAACGGAAGTAATTATGCAAATTTAACTTTGATATCCTCATTTTTTACGAGAGCCGGAATCTACATATATCTTATATTTTCTATGTTCCTTTTCCCTTTCTCGAAGACTTATGGATGAACGTTTTTGTCCCTCCTCTCATGGTTAACACCATTTTCATTTATTTTTCACTTCCTCACTGTCAAACATCATGAAAGAACAACCATCGATCGTATGACATCTTTAATTTAATATTCTATTACCATGAATTTCATAAGAATTTACAATATTTACACTTAAAACCACCATACCATATTTTAGATTCATCCATTTTATACGATTTGTATAAAAGGTCATTCATATTAAATGGGCTAAAGTTATTTTTCCGAACACATATACCAGCTTATTTACAAGGATATATCAAACAAACACTGAACCTAAAAAAATATGTTTTGTCTTTACTGATTTATCAAAAGACTGGGTAAAAATTTATGATAAAGAGTGATGAAGCAGAAATGAAGAAAAAGCCTGTGGATGATGTTGTGGTCTATGTTTTTGCTTGGAATTTAATTTATTGATTTGTCACCTTCGCTTACATAAATGCTCCCTCACCTTTTTCAGTTTCCCCATCCTATCACACTAATTAAAAAGATTTAATTTATTGACATCTTCAAGTACAAGGTTATTTTTTTCACTCAAACAACCATTCTCATAAATTTACAAGTGTCCTTGCTTTTACTACAAAGTAACACAAACAATTTAAAAATCAGTAAAGACTAATGTTTAAAATATTTAGATAAAATAATAGCGTTTGATTTTGAAAATAAAATAATAGTATTTTGCTGAATCATAGAGATGAAAGTTGTGAACTACTTATATACAAATTGGTTGATTTGTACTATATGATATCTTTAACAAGCAAAAAGTTAACTGAAAAAATGAAATAGATAGGTTAAAGTTATCTTTTGTGTGCTAGTTTATTTTTTAAATTTATTGTCATGTATGTTTTTTTTTTCTTTCCTAAAATAGCTTATAAGATAAAAAAGATTTAGACAATTTATTGATAAATTCGTAAAGTTTCTTTTGTAAGTTTTAAAATACAGTCTTACTGGTAATAAATTATATGTAATGTATAACATTTAAATCAACATTTTATTCTTGAACAACATCAATATTTTATGAAACTCAAAAAATGGCTAGTTAGGAGCAAGCAAAAATACAAAGTTAAGGCAATATTGGATTAAACAACCACACATTCCAATTAGTGCTTATTCCTTCCAAAAAAAAATTGACAATATTATCACAAATAAATTGTTTCCTATACTTCTACAAAAAATAACCGAAATCCTATAGGATCAAATTACCCAAATCATAGTCATAACCACCGACTGCAAAATCAAACGACATCTGCTACTACCCGGGGACATCACAATCCAAGCAAGCAAACTTAAATCTTGAAAATAATAGGAATTGGCAAGTCTAACCACATCTCGACCCTTCTCCAAACTTGTTGGGCCAAAAGACAATTACGAAATAAGTGCGCGACATCTTCCGGGTCTGACTAACAAATAGGGCAAAGAATCAAGTCCAACTCCATACCTTTAGTCGCCAATATCAATCTAACAGGAATCTTTTTCATCAAATCTCGCCACAAAAAGATGTTGACCTTGATAGGAACATGAATATCCCATCTCGTAGTAAAACTTCACACTGGAAGTCTCGAAGCATCAATATGACTCTTGACAGATCTGACGAAAAACATATCAGGAGAATCTAAATCCCAGTTCTATTTATCTGAAACGGAGGTTAAAATATCTATAAGATTATCAAATTGCATAGTTTCCTTACCACCTCTATAAGAAATTCCAACATGTACAAAACCAAAGTTTACAAACTAGGCCGCCTTGTTTTAGGAAGAGAGAGTACAACCTGTGATATTATATAACAGATTGAATAACTTGTTCTTACTAATCAGTTTAATATTATGAAAATACTATGTTATTTAGATAATATTTTTATAATATAAGTTTCATTTTTTTAAAGTATTTTTGATATTATATTACATTTATCATAAAACGTATCAACTGATTCATCAAACTTTAATATTGTATCAAATAGTAATTTATTAGTATGTTCATCAACAGTTATATTGAGTGTGAGCTTATTCATCAAGTACAATACATACCTATCCAAATTAATAAATAAATAAACTAGAGTCGAACTAAGCTAAACTAGTATAGTTTCAACTAATCCAAACTATTATAGTTTCAATCATTTTAAATTACAGAAAAACAACTTAAAATTTCAAACGAGTCTGATATATTGTCATTTGTAAGTTATAAAATCACAAATTTTGATTATATTTTTATTTTATATCGAAAATAACGATTTGTTGAAATTATCGCATTCAAAAGCTAAACAAATAGCCAAATTCAATATACTCCAACTCAAATTGATCAAAAATTATGTTTTTTTTTTAATTTTAAACAATTTCAGTGAACTCCTCAAATTTGATCAACTTTGTCTTTTTTTTTTTTAATAATTTTTTTGGGTCCAAATTAATTTTTGTCTTGATGGGAATGTTTTTGACCTTTGGATTCTTACACCATGCCCCTATTTCACACACTCCCTGGATATCCATTCCCTGCATAAATAGCTTCTGCAACCTTATTAATGGTAGTTTACGTTTATACCCTTTACCAAAAATACCCACCACACATCACACCAAAACCCAAATCCAGCCAAACATACACATTTCAATACACAAAGTACAAATCATCGAAGCATTATTTCTTGAATTTAACAATTCCATCTCTCTAACTCTTATTTCTCTTTGGGGTATAAAGGAAAAGACACCCCCACTCCACTTTTCACCATAATAGAAACCATGGATGTAAGTTACCACACCTCACTCACCTCCTTCACTTTCATTTCCAACTCCTCCATCAATCCACCATAACTCGTAGTTGAAAGTTGATTGATGTTCCTTTACAGAAATTTCATCAATGGTGTTGTGTTTTGCAGGAATTCACGGGAAATCATATTCCGGCGTTTGGGAGCTGGGATTGCAACAATCATCTTCCTTTCACTCAATGTTTCGAATCAGCTCGACAAACTGGGTACATCGGTTATGGCTATGGCTACCCTCAAGATCGCGATCTGTACGTCGCCGGAGATCTGTATGAGAACAATGTCGTTACTCCAGCCATGATTGTCGTTCCTCGCCGTCGGGTAATTCCTAATTCCTGATTGTACTTCACTTTCTGTTGTTCGTTGAATTGATTCTGAATTATGGTTTTCTCTTTTGTGGTGTGTGACAGAGGAAAGCACCGGTGAAGCAAAGGAAGAAGGAACCGTGGGTGGTTTGTGATTACGATTATGTTTACGACTACAGCGAGAAGGAAGATCTTACACCGGAGCAACCGAGGAAGGATGTCAATGTTAGTGGTAAAGTTCATCCAAAAGCTGTTGATGAAGACTTGTACAAGATCTCGCCGGAGCTCCTCCGTGCACCGCCGAGGAGGGTATATTGTTTCTTCTTACTTTCCATTACTGTTCACGGGTTATCTGACACTTTTTGAATCTCCGCAATTCACGTAATTTAGTTTTGTGCACTCTTAACATGACCTGTGGACCCCATAGTCAAACCATGCTTAAAGTCAACACTCTTCTTCTGTTCTTCACCAATAATCAATCAAATCTCATTTACATATAAATTTTATGAGGATCAAAGAGTTAAAGAAAATAGATGTTTATATACTACAAAGAAAATGTAATAATTATGGGTATTTTATATCTTTATTTTAGGGACTTGGGTCAAAGATTAAAGAAATAGGAGTTTTTTTCTGGTTTTAAATACTTGATTTTGTCTTGTAATGCAGAAGAGCAATAACCAATAAGTCAAATCTCATTCATATTAAATTTCTTTAAAGAAAATATTCTTCAAAGATAAGTAATAGTTTTTATTGGTATTTTCTTTCTTGATCTTGGGAGGTGAATCCAAGATTAAAGTAATAAAATATAAGAATTTAAGGTTTAATTAACTTGAGTTTGTTTTCTTATGCAGAAGAGCAAGAGATGGGGGTTGTTTTCAATGTGTATGCAGCCAACTTGCGTTAAGTGAAATCTTTGAAGATGCAAATTTCAAAAATAGTAGAGATATATAAATATATATATAGATATATAAGAGTATGTGTGAATGTTTCAAAGATGATGACATGGCCCAAGGATATGAAGATGTGAAGAAGAAGAAGAAGAAGAAGAAGAGGAGAAGTATTCATGATGTTCTTTTTGTTTTGGTGTAATCCATTTTTGTATTTCACTTGACAAAGTTTAATGAATTGAATTTTGGGCCATAATTCCTTAACCCTTATCGATATTTAAATGTCATTAACATTTTGTAATACCAAACATACCAAAATATGCAATTTTTGTTGTGGGTAGGATTATTTATCAAGGAATTTTTGACATTTTTTCTTTCAAGAATCTTGAGTTCTTTCTTCCAAGAAACAAATTGATCCAATGTTGAAGATGGGTCTTTTAAGTTACATGAACGTGTCAATACATTTTTTTTTGTAAACAAAAACTTGTACTTGTTATTTGAGTGTTTAATCAGAGATCGATAGTAATAAAGTAAAAAAGATCTTTAAGTTGAAAAATTGGTGAAAAATATGAAAGTAATGAGGAAAATGGTAAAAAGAAAAGAAGACTTTTGGGTGGTGGGGTATGGTTTGTTACTATAATTATGAAAGTTTCTGCATGCTTTAAACCAACCCAAAAAGAAACCCTCTATTTTGCATGCTCTGAAAATACCACCAGTCTTGCCTTTATTGAAAGTGACTTGAGTATGCCAATGTATGTTGGCTTGTACCATTCTATATGTATTAATCTTTAATAAATATTTTGAAATTATTATTGTCAATATAGTATGTGTTTGTAAATAGTGTATGGATATGTTGCAAATCATGTTTTATGTATTAAATTGTTAATCTTGTTTTGTGATTGACCTTAGCATTCAAAATCCAATGTGAAATTAGCTCTATGTATTTAATAATTTAAAGGTATTTTTTTTATATAAAATAGTAAATTTTAGTTGGGATATAAAAATATTCATAGGTATGGGGAAGTTTCTTGACTAGAAACTTTTTGTTTTTAGCTTTAGGCCACCTTTTCCTTTTTGTGTCTTTACTCACAAAGAGTTAAAAATGAGGCATTTTGCTTATAAGATACAAAAGCTTGTGGTAGGTTATCTTTTAAGGTCAATCTTTTGAGAGGGACAACATGAAAAAGACTTGGGGGCCTAGGGGTGATATGGTCTTTTTTTTTTTTTTTAAGATTAAAAAGAAAAAAGAACATCAAAATGTTTGTAGGGTGTTGCCTTTTATTGGTGGTGCACATGGAAAAGGAGTGAAGAGACTTGTTTTGAAAGATAGATGGACACTCCCAAGGCCTTTTCAGTGCAAGGTTTATTTATATGATTCTTTTTTATTATTATTATTATTATTATTATTATTATTATTATTATTATTATTATGCTCACTCGATAACTCGTAGAAACACGAATATAATATCTTCTAGAAATCTTTAAATGACTCGTTGCTTTTTTGTGTTGAAACTAGAGTACTAGACCTCAAAATATTTCTAACCGTATATTGTACATAACTTTTCGTCTTACGGATCGTTCCATATTCTTCATTGAAGTTGGCCCAAAAATAGTGTTTAGTTTGAGCTCTCGTATTAGAATATCTATGTTGTTATAAATCATGGTTGTAAAATTAATAAACTTATCTTAAGGTAATTACTTAAGTTTGAAGTCCTATCAACATAACCGTTGTGACTTTGTAACATGGAAAACATGGGCTCCTTAATGAGGATCCTAGTCCTCGATAAAGATGGGGATAGGACACCTCGACAACAAAACTAAGCTTTTAGTCTTTAGATTTAATTTACTTTTCTGTTTAACAACTATTTTCACTAAATTTTTTTATAAAAATAAACGTTATAAATTTCATTTTCTAGCTATTAGCTTTTATATTGGAGATAAATATATATATATATATATATATATATATATATATATATATATATATATATATATATAGTATGATCCTTATTTATATAATTATAAAAATAAAGACTATAAAAATATCAAATAATAATTATGAATTTAATATTTAATATTTAAGAAAAAAATAATTAAAAAATAAAAAATAAAACCTTAAAGGTTATATAATAATAGAGTAAAATAAAACATTATCAAATAAAATGGGGTTAATTGTATAATATATAAAACTTCAAAAAAAAAATATAGAGTATCTCTCCTTATGATAAAAAAATATCTTCATAGCTTTTTCATAAAAGAATTAGGGTTTTTGGCAAAAAGAAATCCATTATTTTGATTTTTTTTTTTTTTTTTTTTTTTGATAAAATCTTAAAATATGTTTTGAATGAGAAAAGTCTTAATTATTTTTAATATTTTATCCAAATTAACAAAAGAGTCGTTATTTTCATTTTAACAGAAAATGATAAACTTTTGTGTAAAATTAAATAATCCAAAATTTTCTGTTCAACATTTTGTTTATGATTTTATCAAAAAAAAAAATCAAAATAATAAGATTTTTCTAAATAAAAAAAAAAAAAAAAAAAAATCCTAAAAAAGTTATTTAGTTTTTAAACTCTATTACGAATTTTGTTCAAACTCTATATTTTGTTAAGGATATAGTCCTTTTTTTTTCAAATTCATCCAAAAGTTAGATTATTTTAACATACTTATTTTCTAAACTTTTTTTTACACTCCTACTTTTTTACAACATTTTAAAACCCTTTTAATACTTTTTATATTGTATCAATTTTTATTTTAATTTTGAAAAAATTATTACAAACCTTTATAAACTTTTTTTACAGCTTTTTATAATTTTTCATAACTTTAAAAAAAAATTACAGCCCTAATAAATAATTTTGTCTAAAAACATTATATGAATATGTAAAAAAGTTTACGATTACAAAATAAGTTTAAAATGTTGTACTAAAAAAATATATAAAACACGCTTAAAACGTTTTTATAAAAAAAAAAGCATAAAAAATAGAAATATTTTAAAAAAAATGTAAAATCTTTTAAAAAATTACATATAAAGGTTTTAAAATTTTAAAAGGTTATGAAAAATTGTAAAAAAAAAACAAAAAACAAAAAAAACAAAACAAAAAAGAAGAATAAAATAAAACTTGGAGAAAACGTTTAATTTTAGGATTGGTTTATAAAAAAATTAAAAGAAAAATAGACCATGTTCATAACAAAAATAAAAAATCAGACCAAAAGCATAAACTTGAAATATGGTTTGTTATACATGGTATAACATGTAGAAATACGAAAACAAAGAGTTCATTATCTTTTTATAATATTTTTCTTTGTTGGCAACCTAAAAACATTTTCAATAGTATTCCTCTTAAAAACATTGTTAACCTGTTTCTAAACTTCAACCTCTTAATTTCTAATAGGGTTTGTCCATTTGATATCTATATTTAATAATGTTTTGTTTTATATCCTATTTATATCTATTTATGTTTAAATATTAAATCTTTAGTGTTTTTTATTAGTTATTATATTTGGTTTATCATTTTCTTATTTTTATTATTACTCATGTGAAGTTTAATGTTCCAAAATAATAGAAAATTTTTTAATTTTTATAACCATCAACTCAATACATCAAGTGTTACAAAATCAATCCTAGTAAAAATGTATCACAATTCATCATAGTAGAATAATAGTAATCATCGATGCGGAAATCATAAGGGATGTTGTGCAGTAAAGCCGGATCATTCCCTTTAGAACTAGAAGTACTTGAAAAATATTTAAATCACAAACTGTAAGACAATGCTAAGTGAGTGCCTCAAAATACTACATATCATACAATGAGCCCAGCCTGACATACAAATGGGCACAATCCAACATACAAATAGGGCCAGTTCAATGTGCATACCAATAGGCACAACCCAACATATAAATGGGCCCAACCCAACATGAAAGCCAATGGGCCTAGCCCAACATACAAATGCAAAAGTCACAAAGAAAGCTAGCATCTACACAATATAGTGTGAAGACTCACCTATCTCATGAAATCAACTAAGCCACAATTCAAAGCCCCCCAAAAGATGCTACAACACTTCTATCAAAACCAAGGTTGTAAAAATCGTTCGACGTTAGCTAGTCGGTGGACTGGGGTTAAGGGATTAATCAGCTAGGAAAAGATTAATCGAGGGATTAATCGGGGACCATTAATTGCTAATTTGTTAGATTTTAAAAAATTAAATATGACTAATATCATATAAATGTTCGTAAATACCACTAATATCATAACAAAATAGGTTAATATGATATATACAACACTAATCATACCTGAAATAGTTTCTATTGAGATAGAACTTCTTCAAAGTGTTAAAATTTCATTGGTCTCTACTGTTTCAGTCATTGTGTATGCTGGGATTAATCGCTAAGCGCCCTTTAATCGGTCGAGTAGCGCCTAGGGATTAATCGGAGATTAATCGGGACCTAATCGGGATTTTTACAACATTGATCAAAACATATAAGGTCCAACCTGTAACATCCTGACTCCCACATATTTATTTAAAGCTTTTATATTCATAATTCTAGACTTACTCAACGATTTTGTTGCCTCAACTCGTCATGTAGAAGCTGATAAAGCCGCATGAATTCTAGAACCTACTCAACGAGTTGGAGGACCCAACTCGACGAGTAAAGGTTGTGTATTAAAACCCTAATTTTAAGGGTTTGCACCCCTATTTAAAGGACCTTAAGTCCTCCTTCCAGGCTCCTTACCACCTTTTCATCATCCCCTTGCCAGAGAAAAACCCTAATCTCCCCATTGTGTGAGTGTGTGAGCTTGGAAGTCATTTTGGGTGCTCTTTAGAAAGGAAACTTGAAGGTTGAGGAACTTGGATCAAGAAGAAGGTTGTAAATCCATTATCTACTTAGTATTGGCAACCAATATAAGGTATAAAGCTAATACCTTGACTTCTCATTGCTTAGATATTCCTTTGTGAAAGAAATGGTCATTTCTAGTGCAAAATGGAGTCACTTTCGGGTTTGAGCTTGTCATAAGGACACGGTTTCAGATATGTACCCCTCTAGGCCCTCATTGACATAAAGTCTCAAGCTTTATGAAGCTTTGGCCCTTCTTCATGCCCTAAACTTATTCTTAGACTTAGTTTTGGTGTTTTAAGCCTTTTGAGACCTTGCATGCACGTAAACTTAGTAACTTTACATGGTAACTTCACCCTAGAAAGCTAGATCTGGAGTTTGGAGCTATGAACTCGACTGGAATGAGCTGAATGCGAAATGGATGAAGGAACTCGACGAGTTGCATAGTCAACTTGACGAATTTGATGAGGGTTTTTCGCTTTTTAGATTCTGCATGAACTCGGCAAGTTATCGAGATGACTC